CCTTAACTTGTTCAGGGTTTGGCAATTTATGTTTATCGCTCAACTTTATCTGTTTATCCTTATATAGTTTATCAAATATAAAGTCAGCTTTGGTTACATCGAACGAGAACGTTCTAGTCTTCTTGTTTTCATCTTTTATACACTCATCCTTGCCCGACAGTCTAGGCTTAGTCATTATAGGACAAGTATACGTATCTCCTTTAATTAATTCAGCCAAACACATTTCGACTTGATCGTAATATTCGTCATTAATGGTATGAACATCAAAGTTTGGGTCTCTATAATAAGTCCCCTTGCTAGAGTTTTTCATTTGCTCTTTTTCTCTTATTAATCGTTCATACCTAATCACGTTTGCGCTCAATTGAAAAAGATCAAGAAATTCCTTGTCTTGGAATTTCTTTTTCAAATCAAAGTTTAGACAATTTTGAATGATTTTGACACTCCTTTTCGGGTAAAGGTACAAAACATTTACTTCTTGTTATCTTGAACCTTTGAAGGAAACGTTCTGCCCATTCGTTTGGCATTTGACGCAGACTCGCCAAATCAATCAAAGTAACTTCTGACTCGATCTTATAAAACTGAGTATGGAACAATTGCTCTAATTGTTGCCATGTTTGAATAGAGTTCGCTGGCAAATTGATGAATCAGGAGAAAGCTACTCCTGTTAATGAACTAGGGAACAACCTCATTTTATGGTAGTCCGTTACTTCACCACTTTGCAGTGTGAATCGCCCTATGTGTTCTAGAGTAGACACCTCTCCTAATCCGGTAAATAATGAGAATTCTGGCACTTTATACCCTCTAGGCCATGGATATGCTTGGTCTACCCAATCAGGATATAGCTTTGTGTAAGTCGGCTTAATGACAGGACGTACCCCAAAGGCCATTTGATCCTGTGCTATTTTCATAATTTGGTTTCTCAACATGACGTTGAGGTCATATGGAATTCCTATAGGTTGGTTGGTCAGTTGATTTGCCTGAGGCCTGATGTTTGGTCCTTGGTTGGCAACAAATTTGCCATGATTTGGGCCATTGTTGCCATTAGCCTGAATATTTATTCCATTATTGACACGTGGGGTATTCTGTCCATTATTTAGGACATTGTCTCTTATATTTAATTTACCCCCAAGTTAGATGTACCATTACTACTATTCTGATTTGGCCTTACACCATCCCCTGGTTTGAAGTAGAGGGATCAAAAGGTGGTTCTATCCCTTGATTTGGACTTAGGACTGGGGAATTATGTTCCACGATTGTCCTAGCTTGAAAGGGATTTGCAAGAGGCACAACTGGCTGTCAAATTTGGCCTATTAACTTATTCATTATTTCATTCAAAGTATTCAGTTGTTTGGCGATGTTGTCATAATATGCATTCCCATTCTAGGTAAATCTTTCCATATTATGAATATTTCATAGATTTACCTGTTCAACGATATCCTGTGTGAGTTCTCCAAGTAATGCACGCATGGTTCGAGGACTCAACTCTGTCATTGGTTCGTAACGACCGTGACTACTCTAACTTTGTTCTTCTGTTCGTGGAGAGCTATGTTGCTCCTCATATTGCTCGATCACAGACAGGACTCCTCCCTAACTTGCTGCTTCCTTATCAGATTTGTGAGGCATATTGTTTCACCTTTTGTATTTTCAATACCAAACACCAAGGTCTCACTAGGCGTGCCAAATTGTTTCACGCAGGTAGTCGCTAACAATTAAAAATGGGATCAGACGATTGTGTAAGGAACAAACCTCTTGAGACAAAGTTCCAAAAATGGGTGTTTTATTGGCGATGATTTACAATTGGAACTAAACAAAATGCCTCCAAGGGGCCCAAGCACACGAGTACTGAAAGAAATGTTTAAGTTTAAACTAAGAAATTGAAATTACATATTCTCTGTTTGAGAGTATTTGATTCGGGGGATCTCTTTTTTTTCTATGTCTTCTCTTCCTTTTATATTCCCTTGATGATTTTTTCGTGACAAACCGCTTGGAAACTGCTTGACTGCCTTATAACTACCCACTTTCTTTATGGTAGCTAACTTATCGTGGAACTGCCGTCTCTAACTGCTGCTGCCACTACTCTTTGTCGTTCAACCGCCTTCAACTGAGCTCCATGAATCGTGAAATGTGATAAAGTTACTCAATAAATGTTTTAATAACTGCATTTCTGGATAACCATAACATTTTATGTTTGCTAAAAATCCTGGGTGATTCGAAGGTATGGGCGAGAACGGGGTCATCACTCTGGGCGACTGTAAGGCATTCCATTCGTTCAGACCTTGGGCGTCTTGTAAGCTTGGGTGATGATTTTACTGTGTTCGTGGGCTTCCACTACATTCATTAATAACCCTGTTTGGGCCTTTATCCTGAATTGTCCAATTGTGCTTCATTCTTTGTGCTATTTGATTTGGGAATTCCTCAATTGGGCTTTATTCCTTGGACTATTCGATTTGGGCTGTACTTTTAGTGTGTCAACAAAAGTGCAATGAGACCTTTCAACCTCTTGGGAGGGCTTTTTCCCTCCCATATGCTAACAACGAATAGGCAATCACCCCGTAGCTGTTACTTACCCAAAGAGTTGGGTGTAGAATCCCTTCTACTTGTGCTTCTTACCTATTTGCCTATAATAGCAAATGGTAGAAGACGTTGAATTGTTTTTTTCTATCTTGTTTCATCCGATCATTTATCTTTCCCTTTTAAGATGGTTTGACACTCGACACTTTTGAATGGATGGCCTTAACACGTGCCTAATTGGGCAATTACCTCGATGAGTGGTACATGCCATCACATATTAGTTGCATGGTATTTTTAGTTCATTACCCTACATTTCTTGTGAGCTCCATCTCTAAACCTTAATTTGTATGGTTCTCTAAGAGGTACTAGGCCCTATCACTTGCCCTGACCTTGAGCTTTTTTGTTTTGGTTTTCGATCTTTCACGACATGTGTAGGTCAGTTCATCATAACCCTCCTTGGCGTCGGCATAGGCATAGACATAGACATAGACATAGGCATCAACATAGATTTTAAGCTTAGATCTTAATATTCTTGGTTTGTAAAGTCTAGAGCCTCAGCTTGGGCTTTTGGCTCGTCAATTGAATTGCTTCATTAAAGTTGACTAGTCAACATGCACATGTCTCCTCGAGGCCTCCACAAGACCTCTATGTGGATGGAAAATGTGTGGTTAAACAATAAGAAAAAAATTTGAATTTGTCCGTGATATTATTTTATTGAGGAAATCGTGACTGAAATGATGTCAAATCACTATTTAAAAATGTATTTTTTTGAAAAAATATGAATCAAACTGGACCATATATGTATAAAAAGAACAAAAACATCAGCCTTTAAATGCATTTCGTCCTTCCAACACTACTAATGCCAAAACGCGTGCGACAGTAACGTGTCACGAGAGTAATCGACGCATAATATATTGTGAAATGTACGTTAACGAGATAATATTTATTTGAATTTGGTCGGCAAATTTTTTAGGGAAAATTGCAGTCGAGGTACCAAACCTTTCGTTTATTAACGGAGTTTGCTCAAACCTTTAGTTTATGCCATCCACAGTCTGAAACCTTTCAAAAATATGCACCGAGGGTTCAAATGGATGGAAACCGTCCGTTTGACCATTTGTTAACCAATAAAATTGAATTTTGACCAATTTTTGACCAACTTAAAAGGGTAAAAATGTAAATTTGTTATTTAATATTATAATAAAACAAATAAACTAATATACCAAATAAAAATAAATGAAACTACTATTCATCATCTTCTTCCCCACCCCACCCCCACCCCGCTGATGCAATTTTCCCAATAAAAAATGCTTTGCTGGCAGCCGTAGTGTGAGGGTTCGATTCCTGATATACGGTACATAGTTCAGTGGTGCAAAGGATAGGAGTGAGATTATCTCACGCTTTGCTGCCAGTCGCAGTGTGGGAATTCGATTTCTGAGACATGAAATTGAACTTTTTGTAGGCGCAATGTACAGATAACTTTTGTTCCTTAGCCTGTTAGGGCACATCCCGCGATTTACCTTCTTTACAAAACTTTAGGGGCGGTGAGGACTCTCAAGATTGGTGTTTAACCTTTTATTTTTATTTTTATTTTTATTTAATAAGGAGTAAACTGCAATCTCCGGAGTTAATGACAAAAGCCTGGCGTATCTCTCTTTTCCCCTTTAATTTTTATTTTATTTTATTTTATTTTTTTGATATCTAGGCATCCACCTTACAGTGACTAAATTTTGGAGTTTACACCTTAACCCCTCAAACTGCAGCCAGGTTAAATCGCAGGTTGTACTCCAAACTGATCAGTACTCAAGAGCCCCCCAACTGTCTGTCAAAGTGTCAAGCAAGTCATTTCCTATCTTTGCACATTGCCTTCCAGTAGAGCTCCTGTCTTCCAGGATAAATCCTGCCTTTCAGGAGAATATCTGCCTTCCAAGAGCCTTCCAGGAATCGAACTCACGACCTCTGATCTGCTAGCCTTGAAACGTCCTCATCTTTGTCAATTGAAATGTGTCCTGGGACATCTTTTCCCCTTTAATTTAACCTTTATCTTTGTTGGCAAAGTTTTGTTGTTTTCTCCGTGTAGCCAATGTAAAGTGTTCTAGCTTTTAAATGAAAAATCTATTCACCCCAAACAGTCACCTTCAATCATCACATTTTTTCACCAAAAAAGTGGCAGTATAATGCAGTGTTTTTTTTTTTTTTTTTTTAACAAATACAGCTACAAAAATCTCACTTAACTTTAATCATTTTCTATCAATTATCTTTGACCAACTTTTGATATTTGTAGTTTGGTAAAATTCTAGATAAACCCAGATAAAAAGTTGGAATCTTTAAGGTAAAGAAGTGTGCTTTTGGTTAAAATAATGTAATCCCAGTAAAGTTTCTGAAAATTAGTCATCTTCAAGAGAATAAAAAAGAAGGGCCAACCAAGAGGAGAAGGGTAGCTTTTAGTTCTCTTAATGCTTTTGTTTTACTGTTTGTTTAATTGTTATTAAGGCATTTTCTCATTACCTACCACTGATAAGTTCATTCTTCCTTCTTTTTCTGTCATGTATTTGCACATATATTCATATTTATATTTATATTCCCTGCCTGAAACCACCACGCACAACAATATTCATTTTGTGACTAGAATTAATTAAACTAGCCATTAGCGTTCTATGTACCTATACTCTCTTTACAAATACAGCCCTTTTGTTGTTGTCATCTGGGCAAAGGCATTTAAGGAGTGGTGGTGTGAATAAAGCACTCACATTTGGTAATGCATTGAAATCCCTGAAAGGAAATTAGATCTAGTTTTCTATTGGAACATGTTTTTGAGGAAAAAAGGGAAAAAAAAAAAAAAACTTTGATTTTTGGGTGTTCTTCTAAGTCAAGATCTGCTGCTGGTTTTCATTTTCATTATATTTTTTATTTATTTTTTATTTTTTATATGCAGTCCAAGAAATTTACATGGTGATGGGATTTTCTACACAAGGGATCGGAAAACTGCTCTCTTGAATCCTGTGCAGAAAAAGGTAAGAACTCGATAACTTTCTGAGATATTGGGACAATTTCTTTTCTTGAATGGGATTTATTTATTTTATTGAATTTATTTACAAAGTGCATTTAATTATAAGGTCTAATTAATTATGTGACATAATGATATGAAAGATGAAAAGGGTTTTATACAAATGGGTCTTATATAGATCTTGTTATTGATCTACTCATTAAGGGGTTTGAAATTCTTATAATTATGTCTGTTTTGTTCTTTTCACTGTTCTGGTCTTCATAATATTCTTACCTACTTGTTTTTTTTTTTTTTAATAAATTGCTTCATAGTAAGTATCTTGTATAGAGTTTTATTTCCTTTTAATAAATTGCTGATTTATCAAGAAAAACAAGTTGCATTTATGAGTGCCACAAGGTTAAAAGAATTTTGTCTCAGAACTGCTATATTGGTTTAATGAATAAGGGTTAGAAGAATTGAAGGTTGTTGTATTTCCCTTATTATAGTGCCAATGCCATAGTCTAAATATGTACTTAGCGAAATAGAAGTGTTAAATCGGGTGTTCCTTGTACAGATTTTGCAGGTTGTTTGACATCGTAAAAGATGACTTCTGATCTAAATGTGGAACTCTCCAAGAATACTGCCATTTTTGGTCTTAAGGTCTGGGAAGTTATTGGGATTATTGTTGGGTTATTGATTGTGTTTATCCTCTTTGTATTGACATATTATCTTACATCACGAAAGAAATATAAAACTCAAGAAAAACTTCCCCTTAGCCAAATACCAAGCGTTTCGAAGGAAATTAAAGAAGTACGAGTGGAACAAGTATCAACTAATGAATTTGTTCCAAGTGATGGGATTCTTCTCACCATTCATGACAAATCCAGTGATAAAGAAACTGACAAAGTTTTGGTCCATCTGGGAATGCCAAAAATAAAGAACGGAGATAACAGCAGTCAATCAGGTTCATTTCATAATGTTGATAAAGATTATTGTGGATCACAATCAGGTGAGGAAGGGAGTTCAGGAACATTTGGTGCATATAAATCTTATTCTTCACATCCTATAACTGCTCCTTCTCCATTATTGGGTCTGCCTGAACTTTCTCACTTGGGTTGGGGTCACTGGTTTACACTTAGAGATCTGGAAATTGCTACAAACAGATTTTCTAAGGAGAATGTTATTGGGGATGGCGGATATGGCGTTGTTTATCAAGGGCAGTTGATAAATGGTACTCCTGTGGCAGTAAAAAAGCTCCTCAACAACATGTGAGTTTTGAATGGGTTTTTCCTTCTGATATTTAATGGAAATACTTACTGGATGTTTTGAAGGCCAATATATTTTATTTTCCCATCAGGGGTCAAGCAGAGAAAGAATTTCGAGTGGAGGTTGAAGCTATTGGCCACGTGCGTCACAAAAATTTGGTTAGGCTTCTGGGGTATTGTATTGAAGGAACTCATAGGTACTGTGTAATTTGACTTTCAAATCCAACTACTTAGCTGCATTTTCCCTAGAAGATTTTTTCATTGTGAACTCATTTGTGCATGGACATGGTTTTCCATTGCAAATGGATTTAGTCCAATCATTACGTGTTCCACAATTAGTATGAGATGCAACTCCAGTTACAAGCTTGTGAGCCAAAAACAGAAACCAAGGCTCTAAAACTTTTGGGACTAGTTTATTACTTTTCTGCTTAAAATTTCTTTTAACTTATTCTCAACATTGCAGGATGCTTGTCTATGAATATGTCAACAATGGGAACTTGGAACAGTGGCTTCATGGGGCTATGCGCCAGCATGGAAGCCTTACTTGGGAGGCCAGGATGAAGATTCTCCTTGGAACGGCTAAGGCGTAAGTTGGTTTATCTATGTTATTATCCTTTAATTTTCTCTTTCAAAGTTATGATCTTATTACATTTGATACACTTCTCGCAGTCTTGCCTACTTGCATGAAGCCATTGAACCGAAAGTGGTTCACCGAGACATAAAATCGAGCAATATATTGATTGATGATGACTTCAACGCCAAGGTTTCTGATTTTGGTCTAGCTAAGCTACTGGATGCTGGGACAAGTCATATCACAACTCGAGTCATGGGTACCTTTGGGTGAGTGTTTTGCTTTGCTTTTTGGTTCTTTCTAAGTTCTACAAGGCCATTGGTTCTTGTTTTATCTACTTGATTACCAAAGGGTTGGGTTAAACGTATTTTATATAGGACGGTGCGCAATTACATTTGATTTTCTCTCATTTTTCCTTCAAACAATGTACAGATATGTGGCTCCTGAATATGCAAATACTGGCCTTTTGAATGAAAAGAGTGATGTCTATAGCTTTGGAGTTGTGCTGTTAGAAGCAATTACAGGAAGAGATCCGGTTGACTATGGTCGTCCTGCTCAAGAGGTATTAAATCCTCTCTCCCCTAGTATCCGCTCTATAACATGCTAGTAAATTAAAAACATATTAAGGTTTCATTGTATTCCTCTTTTGGGAATTACAGACAAGTGACTTTGGTGATATTAAATTTAATATTTCGATAAAAAAATTTGTTTACATAAACTCTATTTTTATCCATTAGTGGTACAAATATACATCTTATATTGGGAGTATTTGTTGGGAATCTACTTATCATGTGCAGCGAAAAGTAAAACAAATTTTAATTCCCACCAAGGATCTGCTTTGTGTTTAGATAGAAACTGTGATAGAGATTGTACCTTTTACGAGATCTGCAAACTTCTTTGCTATTCTTTCATTCCAACGATTTTGATTCGCCATCCACAGATATCCAATTATTCAGCCTCCAATGAAATTCCACACGAAGAACAAGATTGTAGGACTAGGGTTTTTCTTCTTTTGTGCTAGCAAGAATGAAATTCTCTACAATTTCAATCCCTAGCCACTTATTTATATGAGCCCAAACAGGCTTGGCCTGACGCGATCCAATATTTAATTAACTCATTTAATTAAATTCGACCCATGAATTAATTAATCCGATTAATTAATTCGGGCCTATAAATAAGCAACACAATTAATTAATTTATTCAACGCTTGTTAAATTAATTAATTGACAAGTCACAATTTTCCAGTTCTTCTTTTGTGTGCGACCCATCATGTTCTTGATCACGATATCTTACGATGTGAATTATTATTTTGATCTAATTAAAATCGATAAATTAAAATACCATTTTAATTTATCACAAACTCACATTCGTCGTCCCAGATTGACATTCAACAATGCGTCAGAACAATACATGTGACGGAAAATGTCACGTGGTATGACAAAATCAAAATGTGAAACTATAATCCCTTCGTCAATATGATTCAATCAATTATGAGATATGGAAGTATGTCATCCTGATTATCGATTATATCTTTCATTCCACTATTAAGTTTATATAAGCTGAAAACTCATTTTCGACTTTTGAGTATACCTTGGCCAAGGATTTCATTATCGACTTAATTGAATGAAATTCAGATCATAATCTCTTTCTATCTAAGAGTGATGAATCATCTATTGATTATTCACAACCTTCATACGATGCCTGAGATACCAAACAATGCCGTATTAGCGTCCCTTGATAGAGCAACACCCGACACCGTCAAAGTATGACCGTCCTCATATAAGGTACTATGACGACCTCAAGTCAAATGATCAATTGCACTATCGAATATTAGAGATTAACTACTAACACTCAGATAGTTATCCATGTGGAATCTTTTAGCGAGTCCTAATATTTTGTTTTATAATAAAACGTCCACATTTTTATTCAAGTGTCACTACACTTTAGCTTATGAGATCAGCTACTTATTTCAAAAGTAAGAAATGTCATACGTGATGATCTATCCGTAATAACGATATTCATATCTCGTCATTACTTATGACCACGGATAATTTAAAATTCAATCATATGTAATTTGTATATCACAATCACAACTCTTTGTGATTAACAAATTACTAAAATTTGAATCTACAGACTCCATTATTTAATTTAATTGAGTATTAATTAATTAAATAATAGATCTGCCATAAATTGCATAAATTATATATTAAAAATGTTTATATCCAAAGTCAATTGGACCCAGAACATAACACTTACAGTATTTGGATCTAACTTGTTCATCTTGTGCAACTTTTTGAAACCTGTTGATAATGGAGCAGGAATCTCTTTTTGCGGCAGATACTTGAGGCTCCTTTCAGCTACTTGATAAGTCATGAATTGTTTTGTAGGTGAAAAATTTGCTGCAAGAAGCCTTGCCATCCATTTTTTGTGCTATTTTTCCTTTTGCTTTATGTAACATTTAGTGAACCCCATTTGTTCCGGTTGAATTTCAACCGAATATTTTCCCTTCGAAAGCTGTCGAGTTTGCTTACTTCAGATTGGCACCTCTGCTTTTCTGAGGCATATCTATCTTCAGTTCCATATAATGAAAAATGTATGAAAATTGCAGGTAAATCTAGTGGATTGGTTGAAAATGATGGTTGGAAGCAGGCGCTCTGAGGAAGTTATGGATCCGTACATGGACAGGAGGCCATCAACGAGAGCCCTCAAACGAGCTCTTTTGACTGTTTTGAGATGTGTTGATCCAGACTCAAACAAGAGACCTAGGATGAGCCAAGTTGTCCAAATGCTTGAATCAGAAGAATATCCAATACCAATAGTGGTCAGTGTCTAATCCTCTCCTATTGCATAATCTAGTTTCCATGAATTTATCTCTTATGCAACTGCACATTAATGAGTCGGCATTTTTATTACAACCTCCCATGTTGCTAATGTATAGAGTTATACAAGTTGACAAAATTTTCGCTAAGTATATGTGATTTTTATTTCAGAGTTGACTAATGTTCAAGAAAGGTAAGAGTTGAGAAGGATGGTTATTTTTACTCAGTAGGGAGTGTTCCAGTTTTTTTGGTTTAATATTTCTTAGATTAATAGTTTAGAATGATAAAAAATTAAGAAAATAGCTTATAAGTTCCAATACAACCTACAAACTCTGGCCGACTTCCACTTGCTCTTGCAACCTGCAAGGCTGGCACAATGGTAATTAACATGAGTCTACATGACAATACGTATACGTGGCATTAACATGAGTCTACATGACAATAGGTATAGGTGGCATTAAATGATAGGTTGAATGCCAGGTGGACTATAATCAAGATTTTGTTTATTTTCTTTCTTGAGTTGTAATACCGTCTCTATGTTCTCGCAAAAATTCCTAGATATAGGCCTTCGCTTAAGTCATTGTTTCACCACCTAGATTTTTAGTGTAAGAGCTCTCTTGACAGCCAGTGGTACTTGAATAAACTTGATAGTTTTCATACTTATATTTTGTAGGATCGAAGGCGTAGAAGAACTCAAGCGGGTAGTGCAGATATAGATTCGCAACAGAACTATGACACTGATAAAAGCGACAACCAAGATCCAACATCAGATAAGAAAGATGTATTTTCTTCCCAAAAAGGTACTAATCTTACTGCACACGTTTGAAGAGAGTATGTTAGACGTGGGAAGAGGGAGTTTGTATTGTATTTTTCTTTTCGAATTTTATTAATTTTGGGTTTCTATTGCGCTTTTTTGTAATTTCTTTTGAAATTGTTCTTGTATGAGAAGTAGATAGAAAGACTATTTCTCTTTTTCCCCCCTTTTTTTTTTTTTTAATGGAAATGGTGCCTTTGTAAGAACCCTGAAAACACTGGTCAGGCTTTGTACAGATACTGTTGTTTTTTAGGCTTATTCTCAGTGATGTTTTATTAAATCCATTTTTCTCTTACAATAAGAAATGAGTGAACTGGAGACTAATTAAACTAAGGCTGTGTTTGGAAGCGTGGAAATAGGGTCTTAAAATTGGAATCGATACTTAACAAATTATGATTCCAATTTCTAAGGGCACATTCCTTAATGTCAAACTAGTGCCTTAGGATTTCAATACATGTATAAGGTATTAAGTGGGGCGAGTCGAGTCGAGTCGGGTCTAGTCACTCAACTTGCCTATTATGGGTTTCAGCTAGCTAGGCAAGACAACTCGCTTAAACAAAGTCTGACTCGACTTGACTTGCCACATGAGCTTGCACACAAGCCAACAAGCTCGGCTCGCTAGTGAATTGAGTCAAAGAGCTGTTTTTTCAGTTGCCACCCTCAACTACATGCACCTTTACGTGTAGAGGAAATTTATTTTTTCATTAAAGCTCAACCTATTGAACATTCATGATTGGGTAGCATAAAATTGATGTCCGCTAACCACATTATTCCCCTATTTGGTGTAGTTGAAAATCATATTTTCAGTAAATTTTGATAAAGGTTAAGGAAATGTGTGATTAAAAAATTAATAAGAGTTTAAATCTAATTAAATATGTAATTAAAATTAATTATTGACTTGGACTTAAAATTTTATCCATTTTATGAACTACAACACACATGGGCTACATATTCACCTTGACAATACAAACATGAAAAGAGTAAACACAAGCTCATTCACCAATATCATCTGATAATACTTCTAATAAGCACAATGGAAAGATAATCTTTTTTTCAAGAATAATTACACCAGAAAAAAAAATAAAAAAAAACTCTCTTTTGCCTGTGTTTAGCTTTTATTTCTCCCTAAAATTGCTACAATATTACAGAAGTAAAACCACCGTCCTCGTAGATGGGAAGGGGAATCGTAAAACCAAACCAGATGGTGATGAGACTGGGCATTCAACCTCTTACTTCTCATCTTAAAAAAAAAAAAAAAAAAAAAAAAAAAAAAAAAGGAATCAGTTTCTATTCACAAATTTGCTTTCCCTCTAATTGAAGAAAAGCTGCATCCACGTCATTCAATTGCCGCAGCTTCAGCTTAATACGGGAGTCAGATACCTTCCCATGTTGCTTCTGATATTCGTCCTTCAGTTCCTCCGGACAGCTTTGAAGAAGTTATGAAGTCTTTGAAGCCTTTTGGGTGTCTGGTGAAATTCCCTGCAATATGGGTTGTGCCAAGAATTTCTTCTTTATTTAATATCTGCCACTAGAACTGCGCCTAGTTTTTCAGAAGATGTTCTTATTTCTAGCATCGAGCCCTGTGAATATCACTTTTGAACTATAACTACCCAGAACCTCAGATTCCACAAATTGCATTCTACCAATATTTTTCTCTGCAATTTTAGCTTTTAAAATTGACACAGACCTTAATGATCCTATCTAATCTACCGTCCTGGATCAATTATTCCATTGAATGTCAGAAGATAAAACATGAAGTCATGAAGATTGTGCAAGATTAAAGTAATAGCTCATCTGTAAATTTCTTGCACTTCTTTGTTCTTTTATTGTTTCCTTTTTTTCAAAGCACACTGATAAAATAGACATCCTTATTCCAACCAACCACAGTTGACGGATGTAGTTCCAGTTTGGCACCCATTCTCATTCTTTTTCTCATTCTTATTTTCAATCATACAATTTTTCATAAAATAATATTACACGTTAATCAAAAAAATTTCATTTTTTTTTAACCACACATTTTTCAAAAAATACTATTTCAACCATTAAAATTTCAAAAGAATGGGGGCCAAACGGGTGCGTAATATCGCAAAGATGGAAAATATGTCTATAAGAATTCTTTTCAATCAATCAAGCCATAGCTAAACTAGTTCCTTATTGCTCAAACTGATTCAATAAAATCAAAATGCAAAGCTGACAAATGATATAGACAAGGAAATGCTAACGACTATTTCAACTGTGATTCATATAACGCGAGAAGAAAATTAAAAACGTAAAAAATACAAAAAACAAAAACAATGTGATTATATAAAAAGTTCTTGATTCATGCTAAAATCAAATGTATGGCATAAAAAGCAACATAACATGAATGAAATATTAAAATACAAAACAAAACATCATTTAATAAAATGAAAATTAGATTCATGTCGATTTTCGTCAAGTTAAAATGTTAAAATTACTTGAATGATAAAATGCATTGGATTAAAGTATACAAGTTAAAAAAATTCTGGTAGATATTAATAAATATAATATAATGCATTATTATTAAAAATATATTTTTATATCCCGTCTATTTTTATATTCCGCCTATGAATGAAATGGTGGTTATATTGACACCACAATTTATTTTAGTTATACCATTTTTCAATTACATTAAAATCTTTAATCTTTTTTTATTATCTCACTTACGTCCCCATTTATTTTATCGAATTTTTATCTTCAATCCTTTATTAAATAGTACATATGGTCCATAACGGTCGTTTTTTGTCCAAATATTATGTTATCGTGCTTTACAGCAAGGGAGAAATACTTAAAGAAGAACAAATGATAAAGAAGGACAGATGTTCTGCTGTAAGAAAAATACTGTGTATTACAGTTGTTTGGCTTTTGTACACAAATTGCAATGAGGGCAGCAAGCTATATATATACATAAACCAAAAAAGCTATACTAGGAAGCCTATTAATAGTGAATCAATATACAAGGAATAGCAGCAAATTTATAGCAACCGTGTCCATGATTTGCTCCTATAGATTGGTTGATTATCCATGATTTTAGAGATGAGATTAACAGTCCATGATTTGCTCCTGTAGATTGGTAGTCTGACCAAGATTATAGGGCTAAGATCAAGGATCCTTTTCACGCCCCCGCAAGACGGTGCTTCCATCGGCAACACCGATCTTGGTGCGAAGCTCTTGAAAGCGAGTCTTTGAAAGAGCCTTCGTCATGAGATCCGCAAGTTGATCACGGGTAGATATATGAGATACATTGAGCAGGCCTTTGTTAACATAGTCCCGAACAAAATGAATATCAATAGCAATATGCTTCATGCGGGAATGTTGAATAGGATTTAAGCTGAGTTGAGTGGCACCAATATTGTCACAGTATAATTTTGGTATAGCAGGGAGAGTCACCTGTAGTTCTTGAAAGAGGGAAGTAAGCCATGCTATTTCCGAAGCAGTAGTCGCAAGAGCACGATATTCAGCTTCGGTGGAGGAGCGCGCAACAGCACGCTGTTTTCGTGTGCTCCAGGATATAGGATTGTTGCCAAGATAAATGATGTAGGCTGAAGTGGAAGTTCGGCATCCATATTGCCTGCCCAATCAGCATCAGAGTATGCAGTGAGATGAAGACCTTTAGTTTTGCGAAGCCGTAGACCATGATAAAGAGTCGCTTTGAGGTATCGCAATAACCGTTTAGCTGCTGTCCAATGTGTCACCGTTGGTCTATGCATAAATTGAGCAAGGCGAGAAATCGGGAAAGCAATGTCAGGTCTCGTAAGAGATAGATATTGAAGTGAACCAATAATTCGACGATACTCCGTGCAATCAACAGAGGTTGTGCCATCATCCAGGCGGAGAACATCAGAGGTAGACATTGGGGGTCAAAATCTCTTTCGTATTGTCAAGGCCTGTTTTAGAGAGTAATTCCCTAATATACTTATGCTGAGATAAAAATATACCGTCTGTGGTGGGGATAACTTCAACACCCAAAAAGAAACTTAATGGGCCAAGATCTTTGAGAGAAAAGGCCTTGCCCAAAGAAGTGACAACCTGCTGGATAAAAGTGCTGGAATTTCCTGTGAGAATGAGATCATCCACATAAATGAGAAAATATG